TCAATCTTTGCACGCCATGGAGTGCCAGACAAAGTTATCTCGGATAATGGACCCCAATATGCGTCAAGTGAATTCAAACAGTTCTCACGGTCATACGACTTCAAACATGTGACATCTTCTCCAACCTATCCTCAGGCTAATGGACTAGCCGAGAAGTCTGTTCAGACAGTCAAAAGAATGTTGCTGAAAGAAAAGGAAAGAAATGAAGACCCATACTTATCACTCCTTGCATATAGGAACACCCCTGTATGTGCTCTTGGATCGCCTGCTCAACTGCTGATGAGTCGAAGACTCAACACAAACTTGCCTTGCCATAATGAGATGTTGCAACCGAAAGTGGTCAACCCAGAGAATGTTCGGAAGGCAATAACAGAGTCGCGAATGTACCAGAAACATTATTATGATCGAACGTCCAAAGTTCGACAACCCCTGTATCCGGACGACAAAGTGCGAGTGAAACTTGGAAGAGATTGGGTACCAGCAACGATCACAAAACCAGCTGATACTCCCAGGTCTTACCATCTGAAAACTGTGAACGGTGTTGCATATCGGAGAAATCGACGTGACATAAACCCCACCAAAGAACTCTTTCAACCAGACCAGCCCTCAGTATATGAAAGACCAGTAATTCCAGACCAACCAACAACACCTGAACCAACGTCAAGCTCACCGATGAAGCAAGACTATCCAGTCCGACCTCAGAGCATTCTGATGAGAAACCCAACTACCTACACGTCAAGTGGTCGACCAGTGTTCAAACCGGGGCGGTTTGAAGATTGACATTCAGTTTAAAGCATTCTGTTGAAACATATTTTGAAAGACTGTTAATTTTAAACTATATTTTTTTTATCAATGTGAAAGTTAAGTGTTAAGAGTTTAGCCTAAAGTTTTTGCAGTTACAGGGAAGTTTGAATATTTTATTAGCTGCTTATGTGTTAATATGAATAAGTTTTGGTAAATTTTAAATGAAGGTTTTCTTTAGTAAAACGAAGGGGATGTAATGTATGGTACTTAAGAATCATATTCCGATTTAGTTATAACCATTCCAACTTTTATATACATCCCTAATCTGATTCCTTCTTTGGGTGCCTGTACAACTTTTGTGTAAAAGAACGTCACTGATGTACACAACATGGCTACCGATCAAATAAATTGATGATGTCCAATCCATGTGTAATCTTTGTGTTCACAAGCCATCCTAACTTAATGAAGATGAAACAGTAAGAAAGATCAAAGTGAGGCTGGTGAAGGTTTGCTCTCCTGGTAACATGCCGTAGTATGGTGCAGTCAAACCATGGATCATAACCAGGTCCAATCTGGGATTCAAACCTTCGGAAGCATTACCATATGCATGTATATTTTCCTAAGCCGCCCTTCAGATGTCCACAACCTTAAAGAACAAAGCCTCACCCCAAGGATGTATGACAAAAAGGATTATGTCATCTTCCAAGTTCCAATAGTAAACTTTCTCTTAATGTCGAGCAATATTCCAACAGCACCAGCCTTTGGTGCTCTCATTTCGCAACTTTTGAGGTACAGTCGAGTATGCTCAGTCACCAGGATGTCAAAGATCTTTATATGACTCTTGCTCAGAACTTGTTCGATCAAAGTTACAACATTCAAGGCCTAAGTAAAGCTATCCAAAGGTTATATTATACTCACATGGGGAAAATTTCTAAATTGGATGCATCAGTAAATAAATGATATCCGAAGCAATCCCCCAATATAACTTGTACCATGTGTTCATGTGTTTTTGGGGTGAACAGTTGTCTGGCTTTACGCGTGTGTGTGAAGAATACCAATTGTTATGCAGGATACGTTCAACTGTTCGCGAACAGCTGATATCAATATTTAATAAACATGAACACATTGTTTTAATCGGAATCGCACAATCGACTAGGCTTTTGACACATATTAGTTTTGATGTGGAACGTTTTTCTATTTCCAGGTCCTTCACGACTGTCGCTCCCTTCTCGTTTTCGAGACTTACATATCTGTTATATTTTCTACAAACATGGCTTTACATTTTTCTTACATCTTTTTACGACTTTTACTCTCCTCACAGTTTCCTGACTTACCCGTCCTTTGGGACATTTACTTCCTCAACGTTGTTCATATATTTCCGCTTTGAGGAACACTATTTCTGCAAATTGTGTACCAGTAGGGCAGGACATGCTCGCCTGGTGTCAAATACATAAATCACTAACTGGCATCGCTATAAATGAAACCCCGTCATTAAAACTACTCACTTCGATCTTTAATCAACTTAAATCGACCTTTTTGACAACAGTGCACAATTCTCACCCGCGAATGAAATTTCAACCAATCAGAGCGGGGCGTCTCTGTGACGTCATATGAGGAATAGATATGAGGGCCGATGCAGAATTCATCTACATTTCAGGGGGTAAATTATCTTGTTTACAGGTTTGTATAAACCTGAAATCGTGACAACTGTTTTGGAAAATGAAAGCTATATGTTCTCACAATCTTCTGTCATATAATTTTGTCTCCTGCTTTGCCTAGTTTCCGAGTTACAACTTGTTTTCATAGACGATTCTGTCAAAATCGCTTGGTGTCGTTAGGCCTTATTTGTATAATGACTGATCCAAATTGATCCCATTTCTGTTTTTTTACCTCGATATTTAATCATGTCATGTAAAAATATGACCTCTATTACGCTTGATATTAAAAATTGACATTTGATTTATTTGAATCGGTAAACTAAACAACCCTATTTTGCCATTGCTAGAAGAATCTGAAATTTTACTTAGGTAAATAGGTACATACAGTTTTAGCACACAGCAAATGCTTATATGTATTTCTTATGCAACAATGAAGTTCTGTTTGTATTCTCAAAACAGTTTCGGCCCATAAGTTTTCACATGCAATTAAAATTGCATGCAATACAGCAATTAATACTCCCTCGTTGTAACCCGTGTTAGGTGGTATAAACCTACACATGTTATTTGTCATCATTCACTTGATGGTCAGTTAATGAATTTATAACAGGTATAATTAGTGGTAACACCACTTAGATTACCCGACAAAGGTTCCCATTTGGCATTTCTTGTGTCTGGAGTAAATATTCAACATTATAAACATCGATAAAAAGGATTAACCGAGAACACGCTGATTGATTGATTACTTTTATCTTACACAGCGGATTTGTCAAAAGGTAGTGTTTATGTATGTAGATTTATCAATCTATACTGAATACACCCTGTCGTGGCTGTGTCTGCTTAAAAACAACGTCCTTCCTTCAAAGGATTAACCGCCAATACAGTGATTGATTGCTCATTATTGGTTAACTAAATTACCGTTTTTAAAGAATGGTGGACATTATGCAATTAGTTGCCAGGTGTGCTATCTTGGGTGACCAATGAGACTATACACCAATGTGACATACCTGAAACTATATATCACTTTTTCGTATACTAGACTGTTGAAAGACACATCACTTGGAACAGCTGCAGATGAATGGCATATCACTCGGGTTTTTTATATATTGATGGATACATTCCTCGAACAAGGTAATAGCCTGACATTGTTCCTATAAATTTATTCTGTTTTAATTTTAATATTTGCATTTTGTTTTTATTCATTTGTTGTAGCATTCAACAGAATTGTTGTTTTCGCCATGAAGTGTAATGAGACATACTAGGGCGTGTGTGCGAATTATGATTCACATTGGCAAACTATAAAATGTCTAGATATAACAGTCCTGTTATAAATGCACTATAAGTATCAGCAGATCGTCTGCTTTTTATTTAGTTTCAAAATGCATACAAGTATGATAATAAACTAATTAGGATTATAAGACCAAATATAAAGACGTACATTGACTAGTATATACATACTGGTGAGTGGACGTTAACCCCGTGAATGTAGCAAGAAAGTTATCGCGCAGTATTGTCACGTCGACCCCCCCACCTCGCTTCCGTGGAAGAAATCGTTATGTTATAAGTTGTGTCATGCAAAATGCTTTTGGTTATGATTCAAATACATATTTAACTACGAGTAGAAAGTAGTTTTGATTTTCTAACTTGATGAAAACAAACCATAATCTCATTAATTCTAACAGACTTTAGCAGCGGCGCACTGTCGAGAACATCCGCCAATCTGAGTATAAATGCTATTTAGGTTTGTTTTCACCGAGTTACAAAATCAAAACTTCTTTCTACTGGTAGTAAAATATGTATTTGATTGATGGTCAATAGGATTTTGCATGACATAGCGTATAACATAACAATTTCTCTCGTGGAGGCGAGGTGGGTGTCAATATAATACTACTTACAGTATTATTGTTACTTCGACCACAACCTCGCTTCTGAGGCAGAAATCGTTATGTTACAAGTTGTGTCATGGAAAATCTTCATGGTCATCAATCATATACATATTTTACTACGATTAGTAAGTAGTTTTGATTCTTTAACTTCCGTGAAGCGATCTGAACACAAGTAAGATATCGTTTCAGGCTTCCACAACGCTCGCTTCGCACTCACAAACATAACCCATTTTGCACGAACTGCGGGGTCCTGTGGAAATCTGTGCATGGCGACACCATCGCCCGACCTCTAGGAGCAATTGACTACAACGCAACGATTTGGCATGTCTTCGTTGATGTAGAGAAATCATCAAAATGACGAGCTTGCTACACACTTTCTATACAACTAACTGAAAATCCTTCCTCATATGACGTCACTGCAGTGCTCTGGCGACAGAGTTACGTAACCTGTCTGTGGTTTCGTTGGCGGGCGAGAGTGAAGCAGGCGACTTTTTGGCAACTTTTAATCGCTCGGTACTAATTAACCACAAGTTTTTAAAGAATGAATTTGGTGTTCCCCATAAGACTGACCACAAATCTTTCATATGTAATAGTTAAAAGAGTAAAAAAAAACAAAGTTTATTTGTTCTTTAACTTGATTTTTTTCTCAAAAAAGGTTTTCCTTAAATGTTAACCTGTGTAACATTAGAATTGAGAACGGTTAGAATTTACTTACACATATGAATCTTTTGCTGTTCTTTGCGGACAAAGGCCTCTGCTTTCCCACTTCTTTGTCTTCTAGGTGAATGAACCCTCTTGTTCGTCCAAAACCGCCAAACTGCTTCTGAAAGGAGATGTGTATAAGTGGAAAATATTTCCAGTTGGAAGTTACGAAAAATTTTATGTATTTTTCTGATTCATAGGATTTACATTATTTGGATAATTTTATGTACATCATTTACTGAAGGGTTTGGATTACACATACCTGTTGCAGGTCAAGATCAGTTAGTCATCTTCAGTTTTTGCAACACTGCCCCAATGGAATGCTGGGAATGTAGAAATTAAGGGGAAAATCGGGAACTATCTAAGTGATATTGTACTCTTGATTACAATAAGGCATGAAAATAGAAGAATAAATATCAATTTGCAAGGTGTAGATATGCTAATATCAAAAGAAGCAAAATTAACAAGTTCATATAATTTTAGGTTGGCAATGTACATCAATGTATCCCCAACATATCCTATTAAACGTTCTATATATCCAACTTTCTTTACAAACTTCTTTTGTGGATCTAACAAAATCCACATCTCTTCATTCAGAGTTAGATATCTTGACATTTTAAGTGTAAAATTGTTTACATCAGATGATTAACTTAAATTACCTCATACATCGATCAGTAATCTATCCTATACTGACTTGAAAACCTTTTAAAAAACAGTTTCCAAATATATTGTGTTGACAATTTATCCACTCAACAGCATTATAGTATCATGATAAATATCGTCTTAAAAGTTGGCTGGAAAATATTGTCGATTTTTTTGGGTCATAGGCTGTCTTGTAACTAGACAAAGAATTTTGAAACTTCACTCTAACCATGCACCAAATCTGGTCAGAGAATTCCTATAAATGCAAAATGACTCACTATCCCCCACTGTATTGTTTTCAGTGGTACAAATATCAAAAGGAATTTGCAATAACAAACTTTAAAATAGAACTTCCAATCATTGGATTTCTTGCAATAATATTCGAATACTTCTAAATACGTTTGGAAGTTATTTTGAGTCGTGACATTGCTGGATATATTTGTGGTTCATATTGTTCTTGCAAAGATAATACTTCATACATTACGATAATGAACCATTTAATCGTATGTGACCTGATCCAAATCACAATCGAGTTCTTGAGTTGACTAAGTAAAGGAAGCCATATCTCTTGCCAACATTTCGACACGCAATTGCTTATCGAGTTCCATCAAGTCAAAAATTTTGATTTCATATTTATTGTCCTAGCTACTTATGTACATTAAACGTTACACATAACATGAGCTATTGCTTATTTCAAGAAATTTACATTGTACCTGACATGGTCGTGGAATGTTCCCTTTCTCCCTCCGCGATCGACGACTGCTCCTGTCTTCAAGTTTTCACGTACCAGAGCCTCCAAAGCTTCTAGTGTAACTCGCATTGCCATTTTCTTGATTCAGATAACATGGACAAGCGAAGGAATAATTCACTGTGCTGGGTTCCTTGTTGTGTTAATAACGGGAGACACTTTGGCCCTCTTTCAAAACAACTTCTCATGAGATCAAGTGACAAAATGGCGGCAATTGTGTGTAGGGGCATTGTGGGTAATAACAAATACATAATCCCTTTTCGATTGGCAGGTATGAAAACATTATCTGACCCAATTTGGTTGTGATTTCAAGACATAAAAGACGAAAATGACCACTTCAGTACATAAAACCATTGCTTTTATAAAATGTCACGAGTTCGCGCGTGCCCACGGATTACCGACTCGTTACTTCTACAGCAATTTAATTTTCATAATAGGTGCCCGTTAAGACGAGACAACCCCAAGGAAGCCGACACACAGACCACGACATACAAAAGACATGACACTGATTGTTTGCCACGTACTTGAACTCATTGTCAAAGCAAACATAATTCAACCGATTTTTCCCTCAAATTTCACTTTTTGACGTTTAAAATTTTTCATTACTACAGTGAAAAATTTTAATCATCGTAGAATATCATCCATCTATTTAGATTTTCAAAATTCCCCATCATATGGAATCCCAGGATGGTCAACTTTATGCCAAATACTTGCAAATTTTAAGTTACTCAGTTCAAAACAGTGCACAGGAAACCAACATGAAACTACATATTCTGGTTTCATGTTGGTTTCCATTTAATGAAACTTCAATTGCCAATTCCAGGAATGGAAACCAACAAGAAACCTCTAACCTTAGTTTCTTGTTGGTTTACAGAAATGCAAAAATCAAAGAATCCAAAATGGAAACTAGTTGGAAACTCAGTTACTCAGTTTCAGTGAATGGAAACCAACTGGATTCGCAAATTACCCAGTATACGGATGGTTTCCAGGTTTCAGGAAACCAAGTCATTTTTGTAGTGATGATGCTTCCGCTCACTCACTAAACAATATGCATTCAGAAAATTGAAATAAATTCATTAAAAATTTAATGTTTTTTATTTTAAGTTGAAAACACATGTATACATATTTCAAATGTTCCTGCCAATACATATACGAAGTTTCAAGACAATATTTTGAAAAATAACAGAGATATAGCAAATCAAACACTTGCACTACCTTCACCATATCAGGACTAAAAGAAATCTGCAAATTAAATAAAACTTCATCAATACTAAGACCAGACACTATGTAAGGCTCACAAAAAATTTGAAAGCCCTCACTCATACACAACTTGACTTATACCCCTTGCAAATCATGCTGTACCTCTGGCATTTGAGTGTTCATTTTTGGCATGAATTCATTTGAAATACAATTCTATTTTGTATATAACTCCATAACCAAAAGGAAATTGACCAAAACATCAAGTGTCCCTGTTTTGTTATTGCATATACTATCTAAATACACCAAGTCAGTCTGGTAAAGCATTTTTTTCAATTTTTTGTTTATTTTTATATACATACATGCATTTTATATTAAAATAATTCCATTAAAGTTCATATTTAAAAATAAATTAAAAAATGAAACTGTTAAATTTATATTCATTAGAAAGCCCTATCTTTTCTCAATAAATTGATTGGCAGCTCAAGAAGCTGTGTACAGCCAGTCAAGTGCAGCGAGTCACCGGGCGTCACCACTCTCACCAGGCCAAAGCCAAAGTGTCAATCTGTGTGTATAGCTCAACTGCATTATGACGTCATAATGGTTTACAGTTATGACGTCATAATGCTAATACCCTATGACGTCATAATTGTAAACCATTATGATGTCATGCAGCTTGCAGTAAGCTGAGAATCATCACACTGTACACAGTTTCTATCATTAGTTCAGTTGAAGACAATCACCATGAAAGGTGACCGCAAGCGAATAAAGTCACATTTCAGCCAAGGCCATACTCCCTGGAACAAAGGTCTCACCCTTGAATCTGAAGAGTGTGAAAGTGCCTCTCCACCCAAGATACCCAGGACTGTGACTAGGTTCAGTGCAAAGACTTCTCCCTGGTCACCAAGTCAAGGCTGGTTGGAACTCAGCTGTCAACGCCTGACTGCGAAGGTATATCTACTTCAGTGATGCTTCTGCGTCCCACTTCAGCCAGCAAGCTTGACCTGAAACAAGAGTATAGCAAAAATGACTTGCAGGGTATGCGACTAGTCGACATTGAAAAGGTGGCCGAAGCATGGAACACAGCTCTGCGGCTGCATCGCTCAACATCAACTAACTGTAATGACCCTCAGCTGCACATAGCCAAGGAGAGAAAATGGGGTATGTGTTGGAAAATAACACTGAGATGTGCCATGTGTGACTTTGTAGCACCCGAAATGAAATTGTACAAGGAAATCCAGACGGGTAAACCTGGACCAAACCCAGCAGCACCTAACGTCGGACTTGCCTTGGGTCTACAAGACACACCCATAGGAAATAAGAGAGCGAGGCTGATTATGGCCAACATGGACATTCCACCTCCATGCAGGAGCAGTATGCAAAGGACCTCCAACACTGTGGCTAAGGCTGTAACTGAACTTAACACTAAGGATATGGCTGAAAAGGTGGAGTTAGTGAAGGATGTTAATCGAAAGAGGGGTACAAAGCCATGTGAAATGAACATTGCAATGGATGGCCGATACAACTCGACGACGAAAGTAAGCAGGAAGAAGCCAGGGCAGAATGCATCACAAGCAATCGGCATCGCCTGCGAAACTGTAACCGACAATAAGTTTATAATCAGTGCATCATTCCAGAACAAGCTCTGCTGGACTTGTGCCTGGTTGAAAGGAAAGGGCATGGATGTGAAATGTCCAGGGGGGCACCCAGACTGTACTGCAAACATGTCGGCTTTCACTCCATTGTCTGAGTTCAACATGGGACAAGACATTGGTTACCAACTTTGTGCAAATTTATGTTTAAATACATCTCTCAGCTTTCCGCGACTCAAGTATAATACCATTGAAACGGAGGTATTATCATTAGTACACTAGTGTACAAATAAAAGTTTACTATATTATATGATATAGTATTTTTAACATACTTTGTCTTTGTTATTGTGTTCATCTATAGCTTCAATTCCAAAAGGCAATCCGGGAATGGTGCATGCCCTTTACACATACCCCTGTTTACACAGGCCACTCTGTCTGCATTGATGCTATGTTGTTCAGCAGACAGGTGTTCGACATAGGTGCATTTATTGTTGTGGCACAAATGGCTGATGTCGAAGTTTTCCCTGTGCACTATAAAACTAAGCCGGTGGGCATGTGTAGTACGCCACTGGTAGGCTATGGGGCAAAAATACCTCACTATCCCATACCCACTGTGCGATGTTGACATGTTTCTTCATTATGAATACCTGTTGTAAAACTGATACTATTTGTATGTAAATAAACTGATAGTTGTATATAAGTCATTATGGCCCACTGATATTTCAGACTTCTCGTTATTTTTCATGGGAACTGATAAAACCCATTTTTGGCCCCCCTGCATTGAAATTATGGCCTCAGGTCATTTAAAAAATAGCTTTTTTATGCAAAGCTATCTTGTCTCTAAACAAATAACATGTGTTCAGCCAATTCTGTTTGTGGGCCCAAAACCACCCTTATCATACCTTGTCCTTTCAGTTCTTATTTGTTCACCTTCAAAATATGTCGCGGAAACTCGTATCGATTTTTCTTAACGTAATGGCATAACATTTCTAACGGCCGATAATGTACATATTGTGGTAATTACACATTACAAGGAAAAAAGTTTGGTACTTTGTATTTAGATCAGCAAAATATTACATAATGTCTGTTCAACAGTAACAGCTCCATGCTTTACATAGTATCAACGATACCAAATATGTCGAAGATACTGTTGCACTATCATTAAAATCACACAACATAACAAAAAGCTCTTAAATGTATAATTCTATTATTCAAGATGTCTTTCTTTGCTCATCAAAGA